TTAGGGATTTGTTTAATGAGGGGGACATTTGATTCTTTTTAGAAGAATTTTTGAATTTAAAAATAAAAATCAGCCTCTTACCAGACACTTTGATCTCCAATCAAGAGATCAAACAAGCAGATGGTGTTCAGATCCCACACTGACACCCTAGTTACACTAACGCGTTTTGTCAGACGACTTCTTCTGAGGGAGTTGTCTGACGAAACGCGTTAGAGTGTGGCTATCGGTGACGTCATCACGCATGCACACTGTCCCACGTGTCCGGATCACGTGGTTGCACTATCGCCATCTAGGATGAGGGCGGTCGGTTGAGATGCCGGAGACAGAGCCTGTGGCTCTTAAACAATCTATGCTTTATTGTTTTATACTCATTGTGAGTGTGGTTTTAAGGGGGGATTTGCTACATAATAAATTAGTTGGATGATATTGCACAATGGCGAGTATGTTTTTTATTCACATGTACTAATTGGATATGAGAGGATTTCCTTTAAACCGGAGCATTGTGGTGGATTGCTGGATATTTAAAGATACGCTGGTTTATTACCAGCACATGGTGAGTGTGCATTTTGATGGGGTGTTTTGAGCACTGGATGTCACGTTGCTGAAGCAGGATCTCATTATTTCATTATTTCATTTACCAAAGGATCATTTATGGACTTTTTAATGGACTTATTTATTTTTTATGTGCACATTTGTGGTGGTGGATTTAAATAATTGATTTATTAATTTATTGATTTATTATTTATCAATTCATATGAATATTTATTTAAATATTTACTTGTTTATTGGTGTAGGGTTGCGCTATTATTTGTGGTTGGTTGTCTTCACATTTTTATTATTTACAGTGTACTATTATTATTAATAGCAGCTCCTACCATGTATATTTTGAATTGAAGCACATTGGCGCAATGATGTTGGTTTAATAAGTGTTCTGTGATATATCTACACTGACACTGGTGGTGATCAACCTTTTGGTAATGATGAGGCATTGTTTACTCCCACTAACTCCAGGACATTTTCTTCTCCCACTGGCCACAGTCCAGCTCTCTGAAGAACAGTAAACTGGCCCTTGGAGACCCCTGATCTATACTAACGCCAGGTGAGACATGCAGCTATTAGTTAAATTAACCACTTCAATACCGGGCACTTTTACCCCCTTCCTGCCCAGGCCAGTTTTTAGGTTTCAGCGCTCTCATATTTTGAATGACAATTGCGCTGTCATGCAACACTGTATCCAAACTAAATTTTTTGAATTTTGTTCACACAACTAGAGATTTCTTTTGGTGGTATTTAATCACCTGTGGGGTTTTTATTGTTTGCGAAATTAACAAAAAAAATCTAAAGAGCTGTAGAAAGAAAGAGAGGGAGAAAAAAGAGAGGGAGAGTGAAAGAAAGAAAGGGAGAGAGAAAGAGGGGAAGAGAGAAAGAAAGAGAGAAGGAAGGAAAGAAAGAGCTAGAGAAAGAAAGGAAGAAAGAGAGAGAAGGAGAGAGAGGAAGAAAGAGAGGGGAAAAAGAGAGAGAAATAAAGAAAGAACTGTAGGAGAGAGAGAGAGAGATGGCTGTAGAAAGAGAGCGAGAGAAAGGGCTGTAGAAAGAGAGCGGGCGAAAGAAAGAGCGGGGGAGGGAGAACGAAAGGGAAAGAGAGAGGAGGAGAGAGAGAGAGAGAGAAAAAGAAAGACAAAGAGAGAGAGAGAGAAAGAAAGAAAGAAAGAAAGAGAGAAAGAAAGAAAGAAAGAGAGGGAAAGAGAGAGAGAAAGAAATAGAGGGAAAGAGACAGAGAGAAAGAAAGAGAGGGAGAAATAGAAGGAACTGTGCTGTGCCCGGATGTCTGCTCTCCGGCTCCTTGGTGATCTTGCTGGAGCATGGGGGGGAAAGATCACCAATCACCCAGGAGGAGAGGAATGGAGGACAAGTGACAGCTGGGAGGCTGCCAGCGGAGGGGGGGGGCCGCACCCTAGGCAAACGCCATGTTTGCCTCGCTGTAAATATGCCCCTGCTTACAGTCTACACTTAGAGGCGCTGTGTTCCTCTTCTGAGTGAGTAAGGAACCTATCAACTGTTGAACTAGCTCACTTTTGGCCCTCAGAATCTGATAGCAAGGTTTAAATCTGAGATAAGGTAGTCAATGTCTCTGTAAGTACAGCAAGGAATCTCTGCGCGCACGTTGTGAGCCAGTTGGTAAACAAGATGAAGGTGAGTTTTGACCACCCTATAGCAGATATACTGCTACGGGGCGGCGCGGTTGTGCAAAATCATGTATGTATACATGATTTCGCATTTCCAGGTGGGGGCGTGCGTGAGAACCTGCCCTACCTGCGCCGCTGTTCGCAGCCACAGCTGTCAATCACCAGGTCCCAACCGGTGATTACTTGTCGGCACCCAGTGATTGCCGAGCATCTCCGATGGGGAGGAGAACTGTATGTAAACAATACAGTTCTCCCTGTCAGCTAGTGCACACTGTTTTGGAAAGCCATGCAAAGCAGTTTGATTACAGTGAAGCACACGGACATAGACACAAGTAAAACAGCACACAGCATACAGTTAACCCTTTGATTGCCCCTCAAGTTAACCCCTTCCTGCCCAATGTCCTTAGTACAGTGTCAGTGGTTTTTTTTTAGCACTGATCACTGTATTGGTGTCAACTGAACATTTTTAATAGCAAAAAGTCAAAAATATTGTTTTTTTCTCAAAATTGTCGGTCTTTTTTTTTATAGCACAAAAAATAAAAAACGCACAGACAATCAAATACCACAGAAAGAAAGCTCAATTCGTGGGAAAAAAAGGACGTAAATTTCATTAGGCAAATAAGGTGTAAAAAAAAACTTGCAGTAGGACTTGTTGGCAAAGGGCAATTCTACTCTGGGCTGCAATAACCAGTGGTAATGGTGGTAGAGATTTCTTTAAGAGGGTAGGCCAATGGTTAAAGGAGCACTGATGTGGTGTGGCCTGCAGAAGGTGTGCACTACGGTCAGCTCTAATGATTGGACTGTACTGCAAATGTGTTCAACAGTAGTGGCTATGGGAACTAGGCCGCAACTCATGTGAACTGAATGCAATGTCCACAACTGTGTGCAGGTAAAAGTACCAGATATGAGAATGTCAGTGTTCATTTGTTTAGCTGATGTATGGGACTCTCTCACCTGATGGGTGGCTTCCAGCAGGTCCTCCGATCTTTCTCTCTGCAGATTCTCCGGTCTTGAAGCATTCCGTCCAGTCACTGTGCTCTGGATCATCTGCTGGCAGATTGTCTTTCTGAAAAGGGTGGCAAGGCTTGCGGACAGTGACTCCTTTTTGTCTCTCCTCTATCTCTAGCTCTGCGGCCTTGTCTGGTTCTCTGGAAGTCAGCACAACTCTCTTTCTACTTCTGCTCTCCAGCTCTCTCCCCTCTTACTTCCTGTCCAGTCTCCCGGGCTTCTGTATATAAATGCCGCCGTCCACACGCCAGCTTCTCTGGGAAATGTAGTCCACAGGTACACGGCTCCTCATTAAGGTCCTTCAGCTTTCAGTCCATGGGGCTGTTCTACAGAATGCAAGTGCCACTGAATTGCAGGACACTGCCACCTTGTGTTTCTACTAACATCCTGCAACTTACATTTTAGAAGGGTGTTACATGTGTACAAACTCTTTCACTCTAAGTGGCACAATTTGCTGCCACAGCTGTCAGCAGAGGATGGGGAAGATTTTGAAGGGTACAATATATTTCTGGTAATTTTGTTCCAAAGATAGACCTATCCAACTTTAATTTTATCATCACATATATTAAACTCCTTTAGACTTAAAGATTTGAAAAAAATCTGAGGTTGACAGATTATGTTTATTTCTTTATGACCCTGTGGTTGAACCAGGAAACAAAATTAATGTCATCATATAATCTACTCTATTATATTATTATTATTATACAGGATTTATATAGCACAACAGTTTGCTCAGCGTCAGGGGCGGACTGACAACTCATGGGGCCCCCCGGGCAATAGGGGATCATGGGGCCCCTGTGTCCTCGCCCACACTCAAATCACACCCAAAAAAGCCTATGAAAGGTACCAGGGACATCTCATGGGGCCCCCTACTGACCATGGGCCCTCGGGCAGTGCCCGAGTTCCCCAATGGTTAGTCCGCCCCTGCTCAGCGCTTTACAATATAATGGGGGACAATACAACAACAATACAGATCAATACAAGAGGGATAGGAGGGCCCTGCTCTTTGGAGCTTACAATCTAGGAGGGAGGGGCTAGTGGTACAAAAGTTAGTAACTGTGGGGGATGGACTGGTAGGAGGAGTAGAAGATTCCATTATTAGCTGATGGCAGGATAGGCTTCCCTGAAGAGATAGGTTTTCAGAAATCGCCTAAAAGTGAGCAGAGTAGGTGATAGTCTGATAAATTGGGGTAGAGAATTCCAGAGGATGGGGGAATCTCTGGAGAAGTCCTGGAGATGAGCATGGGAGGAGGAGACAAGGGAGCTAGAGAGCAGGAGGTTGTGCGAGGTGTGGAGAGTACAGTTTGGGTGATATTTGGAGACAAGAGTGGTGATGTAATTTGGGGCAGAGTTATATTGTAGTGTACTTACCATAGTTATTTACCTTACTGTTAAAGGGCAACAGTTGTGAATTATGTTATCTGTATTGTTATATACAGTATTGTGACTTTTTGTATATCCAGAACTCAATAAACAGCATCTTTAACCACTTGCCTACAGGGCACTTATACCCTTCCTGCCCAGGCCAATTTTCAGCTTTCAGCGCTGTCACACTTTGAGTGCCAATTGCGCGGTCATGCAACACTGTACCCATATGAAAATTTTTATCATATTTTTGAGACAGATAGGGCTTTCTTTTGGTGGTATTTAATCACCTTTGGGTTGTTTATTTTTTGCTAAACAAACCAAAAACAACTGAAATTTTTGAAAAAAAAGTTTTTTTTACTTAGTTTCTGTTATAAAATTTTGTAAATAAGTAATTTTTCCCCTTCAATGATGTGCGTTAATGAGGCTGCAGTGATGGGTACTGATAGGCGGCATTGATGTGCACTGATGAGGAGGCACTGGTAGGTGGCACTGATGGGCAATGGCAGGCATCACTGATGTGCACTGAAAGGCAGCACTCATATATGGCACTGATAGGCAGCGCTGATAGGCAGCACTGACTGGCACTGATAGGCAGCACTGACTGGCACTGTTAGGTGGCACTGACTGTCACTGTTAGGCGGCACTGATAGGCAGAACTGATGTGCACTGATGTGCACTGATAGGCCGCACTGACTGGCACTGATAGGTGGCATTGAAAGGCAGCTCAGATGGGCACTGATATGTGGCATTGATGTGCACTGGTAGGTACTGATATGTGGAATTGATGTGGCACTGATGGGCACTGACAGGTGGCATTGATGGCCACTGACAGGTGGCATTGATGGACATTGACAGGTGGCACTGATGGGGCTACACTGATCATCAGTGCCCTGATGATCAGTGTACATGTCCCCTCTGAGTAATGCCGATTACCAGCTCTCCTCTCCTCACAAGCTGACAGCGTGACAGCTTGTGAGGAGAGGAAAGCTGATAACCGGGATTTCCTTATTTACACATGATCAGCTGTGATTGGACACAGCTGATCACATGACAGAGCTGACGTCTTCAGCTCTTTCTGTTGATCGGTGATCCGCTGTGTCCCAGGGACACAACGCACCACCGATCGCCGTGCTGCGCGCCCCACGCACGGTTAGAGTGGGAGGACGTCACATGACGTCCTCCCAGAATGACAGAACCGCCTTGTGCCCGTCATTTCCTTATATGGCGAGTGGGAGGCAGTTAAAATGTAGCACTACCCCCATAGGAGCCACTGTTCTTCCCCTAAGTTACAGCAGAGGCAGCCAGGCACACAGCAACAGTTCAACCACTCTGGCTTAATAATCAGCCTAGGGCAGGGGTCTCCAAACTTTTCAAAGGGCCAGTATACAATCCTTCAGACTTTAGGAGAGCAGGATTAGGACCAGTGAGGATAGAAAATGTCCTGGGACCAGCATCAGTGAAAATAAACATGGCCTCAGGGTTGATAGTCAGTAAGAGGAGTAGTGCCCCATCATTGGTATTAGTGGGAAGAATAGTACACCTTCATTGGTTCTAGTGGGAAGAATAGTACACCATCATTGGTTTCTATGGAAGAAGTGCTGCCCCATTGTTGGTCTCAGTGGGAAGATTAGTGCCCCAAGGGCCGGATAAAGGGTAGCAAAGGGCCATATGTGGTCCTCGGGCCGTAGTTTGGCAACCACTGGTCTAGGGGATGCCTTTTTTTGATGTATTGCAGAAATTTGTACCTAGGGAGAACAAAGGGGTATGGGACACTCCAATAGTTTAGACACAAAATTGCAGAGAACTCTTTTCTAGGTGACAGCAACATAGTCTTTCATTCCCAGCTGTAGACCAGGAGCATTATAGGCACAGAGTTAGTAGCAACAGTCTTTCACTCCCCACTGTAAACAGAGACAATGTTAGAGCATGGGTATGACATGAAAGTAGACTGAATTTCCTGCAACTGACAGCCACAAGACAGGTTTGGACAGTTATTAAGAGCAGACAGGAACAGCCTGGGTTCTTGCAGCTGAAGACCACAAGAAAGAATAGCACATTAGGCACACTGGAGCAGTTTTTTTATCCACAACTGGAGACTTTAGATAAAATGTAGCTCAGGAGATGGTTCTTTACTCACAAATCCCAATAGATGCAAAGACATGGTCTCGATCCAGAGGAGGGAGTAGTCCAGCGGCCAAGGGGCCTAAGGGCTTAGCAGCCCCCTAAAGCACATTCCCCTTCCCCTCCACCTCAGGGGGAAAACAAGATGTACCTAGACATTTACCTGCCTTCCTCCCACCATTTGGGCACGCCTCCAAAAGGATTGGCTGGGACAAAGTAAGAGCCCAGGTGGGTTAAAGTAACGTACTGCCGTATCACAAAAAATGGTCTGGTCAGGAAGGTGGGGTGTATATATGTGTATTGTAGACAAAGGTGTCAGGGATAGATGGAGCTCTGTAGTACAGTAAGCAAGATCTACTTGGGAATGTTTGGTATTTTAGTGCAGAAAGGCATTTTGTTGTCAACTGAAACAGGAAGATAGGAGCACATCTTATTTCTGGTATATTTTGTTTCTGCACTTTCAATATTTTTTAAAGGGATAAAACATGTAATAATTTGCAGGTACAGCTGCAATGTACTGTTTTTATGTCATGACATACACTTTAGCTATGGGGATACTGTTTTGCCTTGTCAGGAGTAGATAGTTTGTAAGATCAGGAAGGTGACAGATGTCAGGCTCAGTCAAACTTAGTGAAGTTATAGCTGAGTTGTTTTTTCTTTGGTTTTTTTTTTTTTGGGGGGGGGGTACAGCACAAAATTTGTTATGTGCAATGATGAGTTGCTCATTACCTGCTGTGCAACCTTAATAACTATCAGATACTGTCCTAAGCGGCTGTCTTCCAGCCAGGGGTGGACTGACAACTCATGGGGCCCCGGGCAATAGGGGATCATCGGGCCCCTGTGTCAAAGCACACCCTAAAAAGTCTATAAAAAAGGTAACAAGGGTATTTCACGGGGTCCCCTACTGACCCTGGACCCTCGGGTAGTGCCCGAGTGCTCAAATGGTCAGTTTGCCCCTGCTTCCAGCACAGTGAGAGTTAACAGCAACTGCTGCTACTGAAAAAAAAATGTGCCACTCACCTGCTCTTTCTTACAGTTGTGCTCAAAAGTTTGCACACCCTTGGAGAATTGATAATATAAAGTAAATATTTTAAAGAAAACATGAGTGAGCAGGAAAACACTTTTCTTTTATTTTGTATGGGATTCACATTCAACTGTAGATCATGACAGAATGGCACAGTCATAAAACAAAACATGGCAACAAGTAAACAAATTAAATGACCCCATTCAAAAGTCTGTATAGTTCTTAATCCTGTGCACTTTCCCTTTGGAATTAATGACAATGTGCAATCTTTTGTAATACCTGAATGCTTGCAGGTGGTATAGCTGTGTCTTGGTAAATGCGGCCAGATTATGCAAAGTCTTTGGTCATCTTGCATGAACTGCACGTTTGAGATCTCCCCAGAGTGGCTCGATGATATTAAGGTCAGGAGACTTTGATGGACACTCCAGAACCTTCATGTTTTTCTGCTGTAATCGCTGGAAGGTCAACTTAGCCTTGTGCTTAAGATCATTGTGCTGGAAAGTCCAAGAGTTTCCCATGCGCAGCTTTTGTGCAGAAGAATGCAAATTGTTTGCCAGTATTTTCTGATAACATGCTGCGTTCCTCTTGCCTTCAATTTTCACAAGATTCTTTGTGGCTTTGGAGCTCAACCCCCCAAAGCATCAGTGAGCCACCACCATGCTTCACAGTAGGGATGGTATTCTTGTAACTATATACCTTGTATATCCCTCTCCAAACATAGCGCTTATGGTTGTGACCATAAAGCTCTATTTTGGTCTCATCACTCCACATTACAGTGTGACAGAAGCTGTGAGGTGTGTAAAGGTGTTGTCAAGCATATTGTAACCAGGCTTTTTTGTGGCATTGGTGCAATAAAGGCTTCTTTCTGGCAGCTTGACCATGCCGCTAATTTTTGATTAAATATCATTGTATTGTGCTCCTTGAAACAACCACACCATCTTTTTCCAGAACAGTCTGTATTTCTCCTGAGGTTACCTGTGGGTTTTAATTTGTAACCCATACAATTATTCTGGCAGTTGCGGCTTCAATCTTTCTTGGTCTACCTGACCTTGGCTTGGTATCAAAAATCCACAAATTTTCCACTTCTTAATAAGTGATTCAACAGTGCTACCTGGCATATTCAAGGCTTTGCATATCTTTTTATATCCTTTTTTACCTTTAGAAAGTTCCATTACCTTGTTATGCAGGTCTTTTTACAGTTCTTTTCTGCTCCCCATAGCTTAGTATCTAGCCTACTCAGTGCATTCATGTAAGAGCTAACAAACTCATTGACTATTTATACACTGACACTAATGGCAATTTAAAAAGCCACAGATGTGGGACATTAACCTCTAACTGACATTTTAACCTGTGCGTGTCACCTTATGTGTCTGTACGAAGGCTAAATATTCCAGGGTATGGAAACTTTTATCTGGGCCATTTGGGTGATTTCTGTTATCATTGTGATTTAAAAAGGAGCCAAACCATTATGTGATAATAAATCCTTAAATAAATGTTTTTGACATATTCAGTCATATTTTCAATATAAATACCAAAATGTCACGATTTCTGCCAGGGTATGCAAGCTTTTGATCACAACTGCACTACTTGTATTACTATTTTACACAATATATCTCATTCTCTGAAGAGGAGCAACTGAATGACAAGATCTCCACTACTCATCCACAGAATGTGATGCATTGCGGGACAGTAGTAATGGGAAAGATAAGAATGGTGAAGAAGGTAGAATTGGACAGCTGAGCGGCACAACTTTTCTTTTAGAAGTGGCTGCTAGTAACTCTCATAGTGCCAGAATACAGCCGCTCAGCAGGGAAGGATATTATCTGGAGCATCCACCTGCAAGCAATGGGATGTTCGTTATTACACATAACTAATATGTTAAGCATTGTATTAAAACAGAAAAAAAACTCAATCTTTAAAGTGACATTAAAGCTTCATTTTTGTTATATACTTACCTGCTTTGTGCAATGGTTTTGCACAGAGAAGCCCTGGTCCTCTTCTTCTAGGGTTCCCTGCTGGTGCTCCAGGCTTCTCCCCTTCAGTGAATGCCCCCATGGAAAACCACTTTCCATGAGGGAACCAGTGTGGGCTCGCTCCTAAGCCGACCTGTCTGAGTCTATTGACACAGAGTAGGCGTCTTGGTCCAACCCCCCCCCCCCCCCACTTGCTCGTCACAGCATTTGATTGGCAATAGAAGGAGTTGATGGCTCATGCTGCTTTCAGTTGCTAGCAGCGAGGATCAGGTAAGAATAAGGAAGGGCTGGACAGCACAGAAGGGTTTTAACATTGATACATAGTATGCATTAAGGTGAAAACCTTAAGGCTTTAAAACCACTTTAGCAATGCAAGCCAAAAAATCTTATTTATATACAGTGGATATAAAAAGTCTACACACCCCTGTTAAAATGTCAGGTTTCTATGATGTAAAAAAATTAGGCACTTTAAAGGATGGTAGGTATGTACTGACTCCTTTTTAACATGATTTTTAATGTGATTGCCTAATTCTGAACACAGCTACATCCCCAGTTATAAGAGGGTGTGCACACTTATGAAAACACATTATTTTAGTTTTTTTATTTTTACCCCCCCCCCCCTAAAAGATTTCAGTTTGTTTTTCAATTGAATTGCACAGTTTATAGGTCACATTAGAGGTGGAAAAAGTTCTGGAATGATTTATCTTTGTCTCATTTTTTACATCACAGAAACCTGACATTTTAACAGGGGTGCGTAGACTTTTTATATCCACTGTAGGTCTGTTAGACTGTAACAGTTTGAGACTGAATATTCAGATTCATGCATAAAAACAGTCATGACTAAATCTTTTTAAGTATTAGATTATTTTCATGTGCAAGTGACATTTCCATTTATATTATTTAAAGGTTTTCACTTATCAGAACATTTATAAAGCTTGTCAACAATCTGAAATTCGGCCACTAGAGGGAGCCCCCTCATTATTTAAAATATATAATACATTTTAGAAACTTGCTAGTCTTTGTCAGAAATCAATTTAAACCTATCAT